AATGTCCGTATCGAGTTAAAATTTTTAAAACTAAAACGTCTAATATACCATTACCTCCAGCACTCATCATTACGCGTTGGGGAACTTGGTTAATAGCTGCGTCGTACTACTGTACAAATTTTGAAATTTTAAAACGCATAGTTGAATCAATTGATGAAAATGATTCTGTAGCTATAAAAAAATCCAAACATATATTTAAATTCCAATCATTAAAGGTCAATCAATCATTTGAGGCCGGCCGTTAGGGATTATCAAGAACAAAGTATCCCATTGAATGAAGAATTTGAAATTGTCAAAAAAATTATAAATAATTAGAAGACCGCAATAGTATTGAAATTAAAAACAAATTGAAAAATGTTTTAGATAATAATCTTGAGTATAATATTATTTGTAATATTTCTAATGTTTTAAACGGTAAAAAAGATTACTTTAAATATTAAATCTATCTGAAGAAATGAATGGGAACGATTTATTGTATTTTAAATATGCACCACTTACTTCTTCAGACATAGAAAGACACTCATACTATACGTGCATCTCTAAATAACATTTACTCTGAATTCGACTGAGAAAACAATCCATCTATATGATTTGGGGTCATTTAGACCTCCGTTGGTAGTAATCTCAACAAAAAATTGATTTTGCTGCTCACAAATGAAGGTAAGTTTTAAGTCTTTAAAATAGTGTTAAGTGGATTAAAATGTGAGGCATTTATTTTGCACTTGCGTCGAACAAGATTCTATGACTTCTTATATTTTAAGCATTTCTATGGTTTCTTAAATTTATGCATTTCTATGGCTTCTTTTATTTGATGTATTTCTATGACTTCTTAAATTTATGCATTTATATGGCTTCTTATATTTGATGCGTTTCTATAGCTTCTTATATTTTTTAACACTTCTATGGTTTCTTATATTTTTAACACTTCTATGGTTTCTTATATTTTATGCGTTTCTATGGCTTCTTATATTTTCAATACTTCTATGGCTTCTTTTATTTGATGTATTTCTATGACTTCTTAAATTTATGCATTTCTATGGCTTCTTATATTTGATGCATTTCTATAGCTTCTCATATTTTTTAACACTTCTATGGTTTCTTATATTTTAATAATTTCTATGGCTTCTTAAATTTATGCGTTTCTATGGCGTCTTATAACACTTTGTGTAGTATTTACTTTTTTGTGCGGACAGAAACTTTAGTATAAATAAAAATAAACCGGGAATTAATGATTTTGGAATGTTTGCGCGTGGTATATTTATATATAGAACGGAGCTGTGGTGCGTCGGTAAGTTCAGTCCTAAAGATCCCCAAGAACATCATCTTCATGATTGCAAATTCCTAATGTGGTTTAGTAAACGAAAAGTTCTTTTGATAAGGCATTTATTTTTGAAAGTCCATAAGTATGCATTAATTCTCTAACGTTCTATAAATAACTTGTTGTATTGTATAGTTGATAGAAAAAATATAAAATATTGTTCTATTCCAAATGTTTTTCTTTAATTTTGAGAAAAACCACATCTTTCTTGCCTCTTATTAGTTTATTTGATTTAGAATATTGTCTAGCGAATATTTACATGGTTATATTTTATTTGTTTATTACATGTATATTTGAGATAAATATGGAGATTTGTTTACGTACCCGACGAGCTGCTGCGATTGCAGAAGCTTATGAAATGGAATTATATGACTCTGAAACCGATTCTTTTAGTAGAGATGAAGGAAACGCTGAGGAGGAACCGGAAAAACAGGGTGATAGTAACTCGAAAGAAGAAGCCAAATCTGATAACGTCACCAGTGCGTCAGAAAATGAGGACAAGTCAGATGTAGACAGGTCGTAACTGTGGAACCATAGAACTGGTCGCAAGTCTGATGCAACAGAACCACGCACAAAAAAGAAGAGTGTCTCGCGGGTAACCAAAAGTCTTCTTATTTACGGACAAAACCTAACTTTTGTTAGTCAAAAAATATTCCCAAACTCAGAAGCCGTTGTTATCAAATTGATTATTGTGCACGTGGAAAAGGAGCTGCTCTTGAGGTATCGTCTCCAATAGAAGCTTGGTCGCTGTTATTTAGTGATGACATATTGAACAATATAGTCAAGCATACTAATGAAGAAATTGAGCGACATATTGACAGTATGCTTGAACATCATACACATTTGCAAAATTACCACAAAAAAATTGATTTAATTAAATTAAAGGGTCTAATTGGTTTATTATATTTTGTTGGTTTATATAAAATAAATATGACTAACATGGTTTAAAATGTTAATAACCTATGTACCAAGATCATGCAGTGAAAAACTGCGTTGATTGTAATACTTAAACGACGAGCTTTTGAACTTTTTAATTTGTAACACTGTTTGATCAGTAACATATTTATATTGTAATACTGTAAATTTGACGATAATATATTCTGTTATTGCATATCTTTGTTTTACTTATCCCGTTTTTATCCAATGAAATAATTACTCATTGACATAAACAATTGCATACCATCCATTAACTTTATTAATTTCAACTTTCTTCAATTGTGATCCTACATTGAGCCTTTTATAATTATTTTAAGAATAAAACATAAATTTTAGACACCAACTCATAATTTGAGTTTTTCCCGGAATTCATGACTTTCAAGTACCAAAATAATTATATTTTTTGAAAGAATATTCAATGAGATAATTCTTACAATTGAGTACAGGTAAACTTTGACGTTCAGAGGAATTAGTCTTTTAATTATCTTTTTCATTATAGATATAATCCAAAGAAAAAAGTCGAATTTTTCAAATTTTTTTTTTCAATTCGCTTCAAAATTCTACCATTTATTGGTAACTATAAATTATTTGCAGATGGGATTTATACAAGCGAAAAGATTATAAAAAATACTCAAAAACAAAAAAAAATTAATTAAAAAAAACTAGTTCTTACAATAATATAAGGCATTGAAATGCGCTGGGTCATGTAGACTCCCATTGGTAAACATCTGGTTGCAAATACATCGGTAGACTGAGGGTTAATAATCTTATTATTATGATTAAAATCAGAAAATTATTTAATTTTCGAAGATTAATAAAATGTCTCAAATTGTATTAATTTATACTTTTGATTTTTACTTGTTTATAATTTTTTACTAAAAAGTTATAGTTTATAATAAAAAATTATACATTTTAAATATTTCTGAATCTTTCAAAAAATGCTTATTTTAGATTTTTAGTGTAGTCGTCGGGTGGGATATAGGGGGGGTATTTCCCTTCCTAAATTACAAATTAGCCTTCCATAAATTTAACAAAATTATATACATTGTTATATAAAAACTATTTTTGGAGAGGAAAGATTAAATTTAGCTCCTCTTCCAAAATTTGATCACTTTACGCCCATGTTTTTAGTGCATATTTGAATGCTTTATTTTAGTTTTATAGTGTATGAACTTACGAGCTTTGGTCATTACTATGTGTGTACACTATGGAGATGTTGGTTTAGTAATAACATTGTTGTAATATCGTGATTGCTGATCATTATTTGTTCCAGTAGATGGTTTCTATTTATTATGTACAGCCAATGGAATGATTAAAATACCCACACGTTAAACTTTCAATAAGTACTTGGTCATATATTAACTCGAATGCCTACTGTGGTCGTATTCAACTTGACATGTATGACTATGATAACTGAACATACGAAAGTTGTTCGTTACAATGAGAATAATAGGTTAAATTCTATGTAACTTTTGTGTGAGAATTTCAGAGAAAATCGTTGAAAAATTAAAAATGTTTATACACCTCGATGAAAAAAAAAATTAGTAACTTGCTTATGAAAAAATAAAACACAAAAATCATTTGAATTTTATTAGTTTTATTAACACAATAAAACTTTATAATTTAAAGGAAAAAGTCTAAAACGAATTAAACAAAAGATACTTAACTTTAAATTCAAATTTTAATTTTAATAAATAATTTATTAAAAAAAATACACTTATGAATATTATGAAAAAACAACTTATTCAAGAGTAAATTTTAAAAATCAATACTACATTCAATATTAATATAAAAGGCATAAAAAATGAGTAGATTATTTTTTAACTTTAGAAAATGACAACAAGAGTAAATACAAGTTAACAAAATGTTTTATTATCACTTAAAATTTATTCAATTATGACTCGAATAATTCATGAAGTATAATTATGAAATTACATACTCATTTTATAGTATTATTTATTATTGCTTAAGTTAATTGTGATATAATGTTCACAAAAAGTAACATTTTTACCCAAATATTAACGAATGATTTTTTAATAATAAATTCTTTGTCCGAAATTACAAATAATGTTTAAAGGTTGTTCTCTTAATATTTATATAAGATCATTGATCTATCATTGACAACTAAATCCTCCTAAAATAACAAAAGTTTTATGAAGTTTTTTCTTTGTTTTATTGAGCGCATTTATTTCTAAATTTTATTTTATCCTACATAAGAGTATTAAAATTTTATTAGCAACAATATACATTTTTAACCATCTTAAATTTTAGTAAATGGTATAATAAAGTATATGACTGATCAGTAACATTTTTTAAAACTGTAGTTCAGATGCTATTACTATTTTTATGAAAGGAGTTGTGTGGTAGATATGATTGTAATAACAAAAATAAGAAACCTCCAAATTGTTTACAATGTCATATTTATGTATTAATAATTTTGAAAAAACTGGTTCAAAAGATATCATTTAGCCATTTCCATCTTATTTGGGATAATTTTCTAATTCATGAGCTGATAAATATGTATCTTGACATTAAAAATAATAAAGTTTATAATTTTAAGGAATAAGGATGGGCCAAAAAAATATTTAATCAATTACAAATTGAGAAGTAAATAGTAATCAACAAAATCAAGAAAACTTTTTAAATATTTTTATTGTTTTAGGAGAAATTTAGTGGTCAACGATAAATCAATCATTCTGTGTATCCTTTCAATGTTTCAAAAAAGTATGGGTAATGAATCAAAAAAATTAACCATCCATATTAAATAGGAAAATGGACCCTTATATATATATCACAAAAATAACAAAATAGTTTCAATGTTAAAATTGTATAATTTTAAAAATAAAATATTATATACTAATAAGAACACTAAAGGAAATAAGACTAGATTATTTTATTTTTATAGTATCAGTATTGTATATTCTGAAAAGTAATGAGTTTTCTCTATTTTTAGTTAATTTTGAGCTCAATAAGAAAATATATTTTAAAAACTATTATAGAGTTATTCAAAATTTTCTTTAGGAATATAAATTATATTTTTGAGTAAATTTTTTGAATTTGAGTTAAAGTAAAATCATTCATAAAATGTTTATCTCTTATTCGTAAAATGTAATACAATGCACAAAAACAATGTATGTACCTCAAAGACGCCTCAAAATAGTCACTGTACATTGATATTTACATTAAAAAAAAATTTTAAATATATTAATATTACATAGGTGACTACATCTAACTATGCTAATTTATTGGTATCATTATTATTTGATTTATAGTCATCTGCCTTGTTATAGTAAACACTGCAGCGATATCTGATTGTCCTAATGTGGCGTATTTGCTTGTAATGAAGGAAAATACTTAAAAATTTACTATATTGACATATCTATCTCTCTACCCTGTATGTACGTTTTTGTGGTTACTTCAAATCAGCTGTATAATTAAAAAAAATTCGTGCCTCAAAGGCAATAAATTTATGTACATAATTAAAAGTTCAAACTAAGATAAATGTATACATGATTATTATGAAGATCTCCAATTATAACATTTTTATTTCACAAGTTAAAACGTAGAGCATTTATGTTCTCCTAGGCTCTAGTTTTTGTGACATACTCATTAAGGTCCTCTCGTTGTTTATGCATCGGAGACAACTCACGTACGCTTTAACATCTGCTTCATTTTTCGACACAGGAGGTTCCAAAACTAAAATGAGAATTTAAAGAATTAGGTTATTAGGCTTTTGTAATGTCACTTAGATTACTCACCCAAATGTCTTGCCCTGCAATATCGGAGTGTTCTCATGGTCTGAGCCAACATGTGCATTTTTTCAAAGTTCACTAATCCATCAACATGTGTTTTGTTACCGTCGTGAGTGAATTTCATGTCTGAAAGTTATCACAGATAAAAATATGAAATCATTTTCCTTTAATAGAATATTATATTTAATAATACTAAAGTTAAATTAAATGTATAGAAAATTAACCAAATTTTTAAATAACAAAATTACATTTTCAAGTTACTTATCATTCAATCATAATTAATTTTCATATGTTAAAATATTTTCAAAAAATAACTTTAAAATTAAAAATACAAGAATGTTGAAAAATAAAATAAAATAAAAATAACAATAATAATACAGTAAAAATATAATTAAAGGGATTTTCTTGTTATGTTATAAATACAAGAAAAATGTTTGTACCTTTGATGAGTAGTGGCATAAATGGTATCATTGGTGAAGGTAATTTTCCCACAGTAATCCTATAAGCTCGATGATTCCTGCTAGGATCTATTAATGCTTCGTACTCGGTAAACTGCTTTCGGGACTTGGATGGTAACTTATCCCAAGTTGAAGACAGTCGACTGACAGCTACATCACTCAGTCCCATCAAAATGGCGAAAAATGCGTTGAAATTATAGAACTCTTTGCAACTAAAACAAATGTTCGTTTCTAAATATACAACGTTACTAATAGTTAAATTTACTTTAATGTAATGTTAGAAAAACTATTAAAATTGATACGATTTTTTTAAATTTTATCAGTGTCAATGTAAAAATATTTAAGCATGTTAATTTTATTTTGTAGTAATTTTAAAAAAATGTCATACTAGGTACATTTATATTTTTTGTTGAAAACTTTTGTGGAGACTTTATTATATCATTATTTTAGTTGCATAAGTGGAAATTCATTAAAAAAGTTCGGTTCATTAGATAGTAAAATTATTTTTTAAACTTTTTTTATTTTATTACATTATGTGATAGTATTATACATAAGTTATAATCATTTTAGGAAATGTGAAGAATAGTTATAATAAAAAAATATGAATACATTTTTTAGAAAACACTTCTAAGTTATTTTCATCTTTTATGATTTTTCCATAGTACTTTTTATATATTTGTGTTAATTAAGAACTCTATATTAATGCCTTAAATCTGTGAATTTAATTGAAGATATATTATTATTATTATTATGCAAAGAAAATGTAAGAAAGTGATAAAAAAATTATTATATGGGTTGAGTTCTCTGAATTTAAAGTAAATTTTCACACACAGTTTATCCGATAGATAGCGCCTAACATTTATGCGGTTTATTATCGTATTACAACATAACAAATTATATTGTTATGTGTATATATTACCCTGGTAAAATAAAATCATTTTATTTTTTAAGATAATAATAGTTTTTATCAAAAAACTATTTATTTTAATTTACTATAGATAGTGAATTATTTATTATGTGTAGGGTTTGGCATGATATGCATGCACACATTTTATTAAGTTATTTTGAACATACCATCAGTTAGTATAAGTTTTTATTAATTGACTTGAATACTTAATAATGTGTCGTTACCGAAGTTCTAGTATTGGTAAGGATTAGGAGGGTTACCTCCTCTTAAACAGAAAATATTTCTACGCTACTATATAATCCTATGACAAAGTTACACAAACTTGGGATTTTTCAAACTGACTCAAACAAAATGTATAAATGCATATAATTCTTATCTCTAGTTATGAAACTCACTATGTCGCCAATTTAATCATTTTTTTTAATGTATTTGAACGTTTTGATATATTTTGTGACATGCATATTTCAGTAATGACCCAGTACTGAATTTCATTAAAACGTCTGAGAAAAACATCTAAATTGGCGGTAATTTGTTGGAAACGATGCCTCCCAAACGTTAGATAAATTAGTTCATACTAGAAAAATATATATATTGTATTATGTTTTAGTTCTGGTGGTGGTTTGTGATGTGATTATATTATTTACTTCATGAACGTTCCAGAACAGTTCCCAGTCAAATAGAGTCATATGATACGCTAATTCTTTGGTACTTAACGAGTCAAAGTCACCGGATATTTCAGCTCCTTCAGCTTTCTCTTGTTCCGGTACACAAGTCTAAAATGAATTATTTTAATGAATTATTTTTGCTGTAATGTTTTGTAAGTAATTTTACCAAAGCGTCCATATGATCTTTAGGAGTTAAAAATATACAACTGTTAAGCCCTACACTAGTGGGTATTGAATGTTCACTATCCCTAAACGGTATCCTTTCGCCGTTTGATTTCACTTCAACAATCCGTAAGTCCTGTACTGGATGTCGTAAACTGCACTTTTCATATGCTCCTACTTTTATTGTTTCAGCAGTTGAATTGATTGGTAATCGTAGTGTGCAAAATGTATGGTCAGCACAGTACACTCTAAATATAACTAAAAATAAAATTTTAATTTAATATTCACTAAAATACTAATTTTTCTTTAACTTACTATCATCATTTTGTCGAATGATAGGCCTGGAGTTTTTTGACGGATTGTTGAGCGCCGAAAATAAACAAATAGGCTGTCCACCGGGTGGTAACTTCCATTTCAATCCTGATGTTTCCAATCTTTCATCTTGATACCTCCTTAATCTTGACATTATATGATGCATTAAACTAGCTTCTTCTTGTAAAGCTTGACTGTTGCCACCTAATAGTTGACAGTCTGCTTCAACGTCACTTGCTAATTCCTGTAGAAAAGTCATTTATTTATTACTGGTAATATTAATCAATATAAGACTTATGATTAATTTTTACCTCTAGGAATGACATGGAAACGACGTCGTCAAATACCGGATGTCTGATAGTTACCACCCACCTATATACAAACTGAACGACTTTCCTTTTACAGTTGATAGTGTATTCTTTATCTTGTGATGGATTTTCCATATGATAAGTAAACATATAAATTAAAGAAATTTTTTCCAAAAATCAATATTTATAAAAATAAATATATTTTATAAATTAGTAATAATAGGTTTCATAACACTTGTTTTTTTATTTAAAAGGATATTATTTATTAAGTTCTGACACCAGAGTTCTTGTAGGCATAAAGACTATATGTGTTAATAAGAAATCATCTAAACATGGATCATTTCTTGATCCTGCCACGTTGGTGATACTTAACCTATGCTCCAATAAATGTTCTAGTATTTTTTGTGGAGTTCCAGCTATTATCATATACCTGTAAAATATTAATATAGGAGAATAGAAAAAAACATACTGAATGTAGCGAGGTGTAATATATAGAAGTAATAAACACTTTTACGATTTAATAACAACTATACTATATTACAACGAACTAACAAATAACAAATAACAGCGAGAGACGAACTGTATTACAACGAACTAATAAATAACAGCGAGAAACGAAGCGCGTGTAAGACAGAATGCGTAAGTGATTGACTGATCGACTGACTGACTGGAGCGACGATCTTGCCCTTAAATAGTCAGAGGAATCTTCTAGAGGCGGCGGCGGCCGGACATTCTAGAATATTCGACCGCCACATGAATATTGTCGTAACACAGTAAAGAAAATGATAAAAGGTAAATGTGCAACTATGTGTACGAAGATGAATATGAGGAGGTGGTGCCTGCTGTCTAGGTATTCACGTGCGTGTTGTCGTACAGCAGTCACCGTGCTCGGCTGACACTCCGGGTTAGCTGTGGGTGTCGAAAGGCTGTTGTTATAGGAAGGGAGAATAAGAGTAACACCTAGGTATGAGGTGCAGACGAAGTGCAAGACACAAATACCATGTGTACGCAAAAGGAGCCCAAAGTATGAGGTGCAGACGAAGTGCAAGACACAAATACTTGGGGTATAGGAGAGGACAATGAAGTACGAGGTGCAGACGAAGTGCAAGACACAAGTACTCCAAAGAGAGAACGGGATAGCCGAGTATAAGGTGCAGACGAAGTGCAAGACACAAGTACTTCAGAGAGAGAATGGGGTAGCTGAGTATAAGGTGCAGGCGAAGTGCAAGACACAAATACTAGGCGTACCAGATAAGGAGTATAACAAAGTACAAGGTGCAGACGAAGTGCAAGACACAAATACTAGGCGTACCAGGTGAGGAAATATAACAGAGTACGAGGTGCAGACGAAGTGCAAGACACAAGTACTCTGAAATGTCGAGGAAAAGAGTATATAGGTTAGAAAAGGAATAAACAAAGACTTTACTTTAAACAGTAAGCCGGACAGCGACAACCGAGTACTGAGACTGATGAATGACACAAGGCACTGGAGTCGACTGACCACGATGGTCAGGTCTATTGGGTTTTTATAATAATTACACCTATTGCCGATTTGGCAATAAATATTATTTGTTAATTCACCAATCTCAGGCAGCGGATGTGCTGTCTGTATTTTATTAAAATAATTCTCACGATTATGAAAACGTGACACCATCACAATATATTATAAGTTTATAAATTAAAGAGATTTCTTAAGTTTCAAAAAATACAAAGTTTGGATATTTTTCATGTTATAAATTGTGAAGGGTTACAAAATGACATGGTATAGTTAATCTAATTAATGAGTTTTGATAAAATAAAATGACATTATTTCATACTTGTGCAATCTAGGTGATTTTTCTAGTATCAAAACATCGTTGCCAAGTTCTTTTAGTCTAATGGTGTTGGCTTCAACGTCTCTTAAAATTTTATTATAGTTGTCTTTGTCTACTCGTAGCAAGTGTGTATTGTCCTCTTTGACAGTTATTGTGGCCGACCTGAATAAAATGTTAATAATAAAAAATTTTTCATAATATTATGCACTGTTTGACTGAAACGACATTCAATATATTTATAAGTACTGAAATTTAGGTAATACCTGGGAACGTTGTGTATTATGGCTAATCCTCCAAAGTCTTCACCTTCGTATAGTGTTTCCACTGTCCCTTTGGAGTACGTTTCTACGCTAACTGCGCCTTGCATGATTACGTACCAAGCTTTTCCTTCGTCTCCTTGGCGGAATACTGTAAAAAATAGTGAAAAACTGTTTTATTATAGAGCGCATTGAATAATTTCCAACAGAAATGGATTGATGTTTTCGCGTTTACGGTTTGTTGGATACTCATTGATTATCAACGGCGAAATTTCCAATGTGCGTCGTGTTTCCAGACGAGTAATTTTCCACCGGAAAGATTAATGTAAAATATTCGACTAGACCCCACTCCCTTTAATGTTTTATTCAAATAAAGGGTTTTTAACTTACATACATCACCGGCCCTAGGATGTGACTCAAAGACTACTACAGAAGCCAGTTCACGTCTTACAGACGTAGGAAGATGAATTAGTGCTCGATGTGAACATAGTTCTTCGTAGATAAGTTCCAAGTCTTCGGGAGATCTGTCTGAGCTTCTATAAAAACATTTTTCAATTAATATGTGAAAAGTTTGTGTAAATATCAATGTTATTTACGGTGATCGCAGAACCATACGGAGATAAGCATCTGGACCTCGTTGTATTAATTCTTGTAAAGCCTCTTCAAGGTGTTCCTCCGCTTCAGCAACATCTTGTATATTGGGTGTATTCAATGCACCCTCTCTGTCTTGCCAAAAATTGTAGAATAAACATTTATCCTTGAAAGGATGTTCTCCTGTAGCTTTTTAAAACATTTTATTATCTGATTAGAATATATTTTTTAACTAATGAATTTTTAAAACAAATGTGTGACACTAAATTAGAATAAGTACTTAAGATTGAAAATTTACTTACCATGGAATATGACACCTTCCTCGAGTAATGCCTGCCACATCCCTACAACATCGTGTCTACTAAAGGAATCGTGGTCGGTAGACACAAGATTCATTAACCAGTCTATTAGTTCACTACCGGAAGCACACCTCCGAACGACAGATCTTCCGCCACCAGTCTTCCTGTCACGGAGAATGGTATTTTGGTCACTGAGTAATAATGTACGCATCACCCAACCTGCCCTAGCCATCGACATGCTGGGATTCTGCCCAAAACACAACAGTTTTCATATTAATATATGTTTATAGTAATTGTGTGATAGTCTCATGACTGTAGTGTCGGCAATTGTAACCAAAACTAAAAATTAGTCACCGTTATGTGCATTTATCGTTAACACGCTGTCATGAACTCATAGAGAAATCTTATCTGTTGGCATTATACAACACATAATGAAGTACCCCTTCCTACAAATTAATTTTTACATTTATAGTTTTAACTTAACGTTCTATATTATTGAGTATATATATTCAACAATAATTTTAGCATTTAAAAAATTTAATTTTTTTTATGAAATGGCCTTAAAAATTATTATAGATCTTTTAATTAAATAGTTATCATATTGAAAGAGAAATTGATATAAAAAATACAATTACGTATTGAGAACATACATATTTATTCCAAAAATTATCATTCTAATAAAAGTAAATATATCTACGATGTAGTAGGTCATGACCTACTACATCAAACATTTTTTTTAATCCATTCAAAATAAGCTTTGAAAAGAAATAACTAATATATAGTTTCACTTTTTTTAAGCTGAAATGTAATAAAAAAAATAAGTAGAATCAATATTATAGTATTTCTTTTACATTTTTTCAGACTGAATGTCATTTAATATTTTTCAAATATAGTCTTTCAATTACAATAAACGAAAACGCAAAACAAATACACTGAAGTTGTTATTTGATAATAATAATTTTATTTAAAAGAAAATGATAGCATTTTATTTATCGTATATATTTTTGTTTGAAAGGAACGAAGTCAATTTTCCTATCACTTAGCAAATATAAGTATCACTTCTCTCAAAATAAATACAAAAAATAAGTAATCATAGTTATACAAATAGTTTATTAATTCAAAATACTATAATACCGTTAAAAAAATAGTTTTTAGTTAACTATTACTAACCTAGTAAAAATTATATTTCGTATAACTTACTGAAAATTTGTTTTATTGAATTATTAATTATTTTAATACATTTCAAATAAAGAAATATTATCAACAACTAGGATGGGAAATCCAAAACATGTTTCTGTTATTATGTATTTTGTACTGTTAAATTATATTTATAAAAGAAATTGATCGGGTTTCTTAACTATTATTATTCATGTTTTAGTGGACGGTTCTAGACGTCGACAAAAAAAAAAAAAGAGTCACAGTAAATTAATTTAAACTTTGTGATATTTTAATAGATATAATAGAAAAGATTTTTTCTATTTAGTCGTTGAAATAAATTTAAAGATAATCTCTCTATAAGAAAATAATAAACAGAAAAAATTTAACCATACAAATTAATCGTATCTTTTATTTTATACAGCGTCTTAATATAAACTTACAATATTTTTATTTACTTTAAGTCGATCAGTATAAGAAAGGCCAAGTTCTTAAAAGCTATCATCATTAATTGGTCGTATACTGTATATATTTATATAGATACATAAAAAAAAATCCCTTTTATTTCATATTACGTTTTTGCGATATTCATGAGCTTTTGCATCTCATATTCCATTTTCGTTTCGTTTAACCATAAGTCGATAAACTCGATTGTATATTATTCACCCCAAAATGTTCAAATGGATATTTTATTCTTCAGACTATTAAATATTTTGCATGTTTAGTTAAATTTTACATAATTGTAAAACATTTTTTTGCTAGAAATATTAAGCACTATGTATACTAACGTTTTTGTTGAACAATAAAATCTATATTACTATATTAAGTTTTCCTAAAATTAATTTTGTGGGCCTTTAAGCTATATTTTCGAAATCTAATGAAACTCATGAATCATTTGATGAAATTATTTCATTTTATCAGTTGATAAGTTCTTGGAATATAAATTACAATTTTTTTTTTAAGAAATCATTCTTACATCAGATCATTAATGCAATAGAATTTTTATCGATATAATATTTTATTTGTTTTTCATAATAAATCAAAATCCAAAGTGTTGTTTAAAAAAGCAGTCAAAACTAAAATTATAAACCATTATTTATTATGATATGACACGTGATGAGAATTAAGTAATAAATGATCTTGTGGTATGATCTAAAACAAAAAGAGTTTTTAATGACTTTTTTTAAAGCACAAATCTTTTATATTGTTTGTTGAAAAAATGTTATGTTAAATAATAAATTTATGGATGTTAATGAATTTAAGACACCTCTATTACAAGAACGGGTTCACCTTCGAATAATTTAAAATATAAATACTTAATTTTTCTTTTCCTTTGATTAATTCAATCAATTATTTTTTTGAGTACAAATTATTATGATATTCTATAAGTAAACATTAAAAAATAAGGTGCAAAAAAAACAAAACTTTCGGATGAAAATAAATACATTTAAATCATATGTTTAAAACTATCTTTTATTTTTGCTTCAGTTATAAAATAAACTCGAAAAATGTCTACGATTTCTATAAAAGCAGTTTAATTAGTACCGAACAAACTCGAAGTGTGAAAGTTACATTTTCACATAAGTTAAAGACAAAATCCAAATGAATATAATAAAATAGACTCGGAAGAAAGGGAAAATATGGTTTTAAGTAATAGTATGTAGGAATTTGAGTAAATCCTTTTTAACTTACCTCTGTTATTATTTCAGCCGGATCCGGATTATCGGGAGTAAGCGTTCTTCGAACTTGGTTCATTACCGGCGGAGGAGATTGACACTTGGTTAAATTTCCACCAGCTATTCCTGGAAAAAAATATTTCAAAAGATATTATAGTTAGTCAGTGATCAAAGAAAATGCTTATGTAAGCAAAAACAAAATGAAAATCGTTGAGTAATATTTTCATTTGTTAGCCGAACGGATTATACGCAAATAATTAAAATTACCAACAGCGGAAAGGTAATTCGATTGAATAGAATATCGTTTTTTTTTTTTACTTAATTTTATAAAATACGTATCGCAATAACTATTTTATGAAGAAAGCCGTTTTTCATCAAATGAATTTGTTCAAAACTAATCGGACCACGTCTCGACGAAATATTATTAATTGTTATTTTTTTTAAATCGTATTTTCTTCGTTATTAATGTAAAAACGTTTTTATTTTTAATCAAATTAGATTTTTTACCTCGAATAAACTTGCGGCTGTTTTATAAATTAAAATATCTTTGTTCTTTCATTTATTTTTATGTTATATTGTACAAAAATGTAAACCAAAGAGATAAAAAATGTATGTGCATAAATAGATTTTTAGTGAAACATCATCGTGAGCAGTATTTGCTTTAAAGCCTTCGGGAACAGCCTCGTCCACGTCGAAGAGAAGTGGGATTAACAAAACTGTCATGAAATTAAGGGATAATGCTGTGGATTCTTCTCCTCAACACAACAGTTCTGTCCCGCGGGGTATGTATTTACATAGGAACGATGCGTCGAGGTTTAGTCGAGTCTGACAACGATTGCAAATAATTTACAATTACTTTAAACAAGTTCACTTAAATTTAAATACTTTATATGACTGGTCTATACTCAGGTCGATTGCCTAGAGTAAAATAAATACAGCAAATAACTCGGGCACATTTTTTTCATATAAAATATTCCCATTTTGTGATGTATTGAAAAAATGTTTGCGATTGTTAATAATTTTTCATACGACGGTCAAATAAAAATATTACAACACATATTTTCTAACGTTGCTATTTTTAATTTATTTAGTGAAAATAAACTGCAATTTGACGGAATTATTAGCAATCGTGATGCCGGGGTTTGTTTGAATATTTCATAAAAATATATATCCTTGGTAAAATTGATAAAATAACTTATCTTTTAAATAATATCAAAGGATTCTTTTTTTGCTAATAAACAATGCAATGTAATAATAAAAACATCTAGAAATGATAAAACCTTTACATTTATTTAGTAAATGTATTTATTTAGAAGTTTCGTCAGTCGATCCGTGAAAAAAGTTCAATGTAAATATGAATTAATAGAATTATTCTTTCATTGAAAATCATATTTTAAATTATATTTGGATGGTTTTTGTGAGAAAGTGGTCAAGTAAAATTTGTTAATTTTAGGCTATTTCATTAAATATTTTCCTGCCTTCAGTATTGTTGTATTCATAGATAATATAGATATATTCTTATTGTGATTTGAATCTGAAAAGCCCTATTTACTACTTGTTTATTATGTAACTAATTTACATAATTTCCTGATTACATGTATATTCTAAAATCACTTTAACTCTTAATGTTAAAAAACTTGCTAGATTTTTAGCATAGTTACTCACCGTTTTTTAGTTTGTTACTGATGACCAACTCCTTCATCAAACTGGAATGTTTCTATAAACAACAGATATACGATTAACAATTGAATTTAAATACAATAGTCATAATTGTCGTATGGTTTACTTTACAGCCAATTAATTCCGGTTACTTTGAAAAATTAACTTTTCATATGAAATAAAATTAGTTTAATGTTATTCAATTTTGTTACATATAAATTTAAAAAAATTGTTGAAACTGTTTGAATATTTTGATATCAAACTTATTCAAAGTTAAAATATGGTGTAGGGGAAATTAAACTAATATAAATTTTATAATGTCATATTTTTTTTTATAAATATTTATATAAAAATAAATTTTTTATGATATTTTATTTTTTTGAATAATAGCAAAAAAGAACTTGTACACAAAGTTGACTGATAGTACTTGCTAACAAAATAGAGACATTCAGTATAACTGTTATTTATCAACTTAATATTAACTATAATAATAAGCAGGGAATGTTTCAAATAACACATCAAATATACTCGCGAAAAAGATTTCAAAAGTCAATTTATAAGTTTGACATTGATAAACGTTTTTTATTCTTTGATAGTGAAAAAATATAATGATGATTAAAATCATTCAAAGGTATATACGAACATGAAATACTTAATATTATTCTACGATATTATTTTTTACAATATGCTTTTCAAATAATATTAAAATCTTGCATTTTTAAGCTTATATATTTTAAATTGTAACTTTTTTCTACTTTAATTAAATAAAAATGAAGATAATTTTTTAATTTTCTTGGATTTTAACAAATAGTTTAAAATAATAGGAACGATTTCATTTTTTTGTACTTGTTTTAATAATATTTTATTGGCGCATTTGTTGAGTGAAAAAATGTAACAACTAAATGTTGTTACAAAAAATATTATAATTTAAGCATAAAAATATACGTTTTGTTACAATAATGGGTTAATGTTTTTTTGGTTTTTTTCATTTCTAAAGAAAACTTTTTATAGGTAAGTTTGAATTGGTTATTATTGTCATCCATTAAATCTTTAAACTTAAAGGGATACTTTAATCACAAAATAGATAACATTCTACATTAATTCTATTTTAAGATTTTAGGTCTAATCTATTCTGTGTTTTAATGCTATCCAATTAAAGGAATACTGAAGCCATAGTATATTTTGACTTTATTTCTACTAAGCACTCATAATCAGTTATTATTTTTAATGATTTCAAAAAAATAATAACAATAATTATAACATTTTTTCGTGTTATTTATTAGTCAGATATTAATAACAATAAATGTATTTCATAAAATAAAAATGTATACATGTATAAACGATATTTGATACCTCTCTAATAAACGTAACTTGTGTTTGGAGTCGATGAGTTCAATAATTATTTCGATACACTTATCGATTAAACTTTTGATGTTTAAAAATTAATAAATTTTAAAGTATATAAGGATAATAAAATAAAAATATTCAATATAAAAATAAAAGACCGGAAAAAAATAATATCATACTCATAAAGCTTTTAAATACTTAATTTGTCAAAAAATAACATTTAATATTTTAAAAGTCAATACATTAAATAGTTTTATAAGGCATAATGACCTTATATATTCAAATATTGACTCCAGTAATGATTTTTTTTTTATATTTATCTGGAAATATTTAATGAAGATGAATAAATTTTCTTCTTGTGAATTATTTATCGAGTTTATTTTGTGATATAAGCAATTCATAACAAACAAAATCTTATCTATACCAGTCAAGGTTGGAATATTATAGGATTTACAAATAATATTATTTTTCCAACAGCCAAGTAATAGATAACTTGTTCATTCATATGTTAATAGCTGTCATTCATAATACGATTAGGACAGATTACGATCCTCGTGATGTAAAAGCTAACTAGAAATATCTCAAGTTGAAACTAAATTAACTGATTCCTTTGTTTTGACATGCCGGTATGTACTCACTAAATGCTTCTGATTTATAATAAATATAAGTCGTTCCAAATATAATATTTGAAACGATATAATTCTCGAAATAATGTATACTTTATAGATTTAAGTTATATGAATAATTGATTATTTGTTGTCTTTGTGATTAAGTTTAATAAAAAACGTCCAATAAAGTATTAATTTTAAACAATTTTCTCCGATACAGGATTTAAAAAATCGAGAATTGTCATATTACATCAAGAAAAATAAATTTATTAATAGCAATTATCTTTGCCTGTTATTATGATTTTAAACAGCAGTGCTTTAGTGAGGGTATACAGTGTTTACACCCTATACTAACAATTTTTTTAATGAACGTATTGCCTAGAAAAATAATACTTATGTACTATTTATATTACGGTATACGCTGATTTGCTTATATATTATACAGTATCCTAAAATAAAAAAAAGATTTCTGCGAAAAAGAGCTCTGCTACTTCGGTGAAATGCCTGAGGGAAACACTGGAGCAGTAGATGTTTTATATTATTTGCGCTTCGTTGGTTTGATGATCTTTTTTATCATATAACAACGGTTAGAATGCATTTTTTAAACACCGTTGTAATCATTAATCATTTATACGTAGAGAAAAATTACATTCTAATTCCGTTTCGACGATTGAATACTTAGTGTCACAAGAATAAAACATTTACAAACTGATGATAAAATAATCGTGTTTCGGATGAAATTGTGACAATGCGGAAGTTTTATTTTTAACATGACTCACGAAAACAACAAGTTCTTTTATAATAAAAAAATATTCAAAAAAGTTCTTTCGGCAAGAAATATAAATTCGTTATTCTAAATTCTATCTTGTCAAAGCTATTTGAGGGTGACAGAACATTTCTATTAAACAAAAAGCAAATACGCCATAACTCTTTAAATATAGTGAATATCATATTAATTAAATATATTGATAAATATGTAATTATTCCTATATATTAAAAAGTGTTTTAATTTTTAAAAGATTTGATTATTTTTAAATTTGTATTTATCATTTTATAAGTAATGTAATTGAACCCGCGGGGTTCAACTTTAGTAGCATTTTAAGGTGAATGTCAAGAGAAATTCACTTAAAAATTTTGAAATTAACTTAAAATCTCATGAATATATCATTTTTTGCGTGTGTCGATTGTCTCTTACTTATTATTATTTTTTACTAGATTGTTAGGGGTATTCTTTTTATTGTCGGCAGATATTTTTTTAATAAGTGGTTGTATGCTGAAACTGAAGATTTTACCCAAGTTCACAAATTGGATTACTATAGAGAACAGTTTTGAGTAGAGTGTACACTTTTTTATTAGTAAAGTTTTTCCTTGGAAAATGGAAGGTAAAATGTGTTTAAAAATTTCAAGTTTTAAACGAAGGATATATCCTCAAAAACTTACTGTTTTTTACCAAACATAAGAATTTATTTACGCGTATGGGAAAGAATTGGCACAAGGGTAGGCAGTATAATCTAAAGCGAATAAAATCTTATTTAAAGACATACGGTAATATCGTCTCAGCTATTTACTCGGATTGGACAGTTGATTGTAAAGAAATTGCGAGTTAAAACCGAAGTCGCGTGGAATGTCATTTGAAATCGATGAAATAACAGTAATATTGTACACCGCGAGCGCAATCATTTGATACGTTTGCTGTTGTATAGACTCTCGATACAATGTATACATATTAAGTTTTCCTTTTCTTCTATGGTTTACAGTTTTCTTAATTCATCATCCATCACTACCGTTTATACCATATGCGGTTGTTCGGTAAGTAATTTTCGTGAAATGCAAGTAAAACTGATTCTCCGCTTGAATTATTCAACAACATCGTATGTGAAATGGTTGACGTATAAGTACTGTCCTATACGAGGCTATATCGATTCCATTTAGCGTTTCAAAGGCCGACTTAAAAATAATTTATTATCCTTTTCCGTTTCTAACCGGCAGGCAAACTTTTAAAAATTTATTATAATAATGTATTATATTGCGGGTCCGTAAGAAGAGGGTCGTGAAAAATGCAGCCACAGTCGGTTCGCCAGCGTTGGTGAATCAACGGACCGTTAGTATTATCACCAGGTCGACGTGTGATTTATAATAGGCCCAAAGTTATTGAAATATTGCGCAGTGACGACAATAAATTTTGTTATTACTATTTTTATCTTCAGTGAAATCTATTGACAACTGAAAATAACAATATATCTATATGCACAAAAATGATTACATTTCTGTGCTTTGCGTTCCATTAATTTATATTATTTTTCAATATATTTACCTACAAACTGAGCCATTAGTAATTTTAACCGACTGCTTTAGACTGTTTTGACAAAAAAAAAAAATACTACATGGAATTCTGTAATTTTTTATCAAGCGTAATAAATACTAATATAATATTTTTCATCTCACAAAATATGAAGTTTTCTTAATATATTGAAAATATTTATATTGTTATATATTGAACGTAAATAACATATACACTTTACTGTACATTTTAATCGAATGAAAATAATATATATATATATATTTTTTTTTGATGTTTTCATTTGTTGTATTATATTAATATTTAATATTATTGTTTATTTAAATGTTGTGTTTTGTTAATAGAGTGGAATTTTATCATGCTATAAAAATTATAAAAGAATATTTGATTGTTAAAAAAAATGTTTATTTTATATTATTTTTAATGGAAAATAATTTGTTTATTGCCACGTGATATTTATATGGAATTAAAATAGATTTGAGAAATATTTGGGAGATTTTGAAAAAGAAACTGATGTATTGGCAAATAATTCTTGTCGTAAATACTGTCATTGGTAATAGTATTTTTCATTATATTTGTGAAACAGTTAGATTTTGAAATTTCAATCAAACGCAGTATCTATTTAATTTCAATTCAACTGTTTCGACGTTTCTGATTGTATTGACAATTCCTTCTGGAATACTTGCCACAAGATACCATCAAAATAAACGTTAGACGCAAACGGGCAATAATTAGTTTGTCATACCGAAAATAAAATGAGCAATTGGGTAGCAGCAAATATTGTATAGGCAAACACATGGCCTGTCATTGCTTCATACGATTGCAATAGCAGTTAGAAATTCGGACATGGTAATTAACCATTTTATTATGTAATTTAGTTTCGAATCGCAATTAGCCACGACATCAACAGTACGGTAATCTTCGTTTTACAAGTAGCTGTCCTGTTAGTTGGTGTTGTGATTTAATATTTTGTGTTAACTTATTATAATAATTTGTTTGCGTTTTGGTCGACACAATTTATATTCACTCCAAGTTTTAGCTTCCTTTCTGAACAAATAAGGTGTAATCGAAAAACGGACCGTTAGTAGTACTGACAATAACATAAAATGTAAAAAAATCAACAAGTAAATATTATTCACTTTAAATAGCAACACAATTCTTTCCTTTTGACGTGAAAATAAATATTAGCTAATATTGAAAAATAGCGATGCTATAATTTTACCGAAATAAAAATGGTAATTGAAACTTGATGAGAACGTTTCATGATTCGAGAAAAAATGTTTCTAAAAAAAAATAATACACTTCATATTAATCCATGTCAGAAATAAAATTTGCTATTGTGTGAGTTACCTTCAACAAAAACGAGTAAAACCGTTTAAACATTATAGAAGGTGAACATTTAATTTTAATTAACTACGAAGAATGTTTTTCATAACGTTTTTCAACAAGATTTCAATTTTCAAATGTGTGCTGATATTTTAATTTATTTTATTTAGAAATAAGACTTTTCCTTTCGAATGACAAAAAATTATCCAAAGGAGAGATCAATAATGAAATCAATAGCTTATCAAAATAAATTGGATTGCTATAAAACGAGAAATACCTATAAGTATTATTTATACAGGGTGTTCAGTATACAGTATTGTTCTCATTGTTACAAACAATGAGAACAATAGAAACCCGTTTCCTGACTTACTGAACACCCTGTATAATTGATAACCATAAATACAAACAAAGAAAATGTAATTAACGAACTGCCGTGTGTTTCCATCGTTCTGTTAATAATCTCGTATGAATTAATGATAATAAATATCAGAGGAAAACACCATTTTGGAAATTAAGACTTAGATAAAACAAATGAGCTATTTGATTTTATTATTTATATGACCGAAAGATTTTTATTACCTGATTCCTGAAAACCGATATTTATTTTTGCTGTTATAAATTAGTGAAGGGTTAAAAAATAAGTAAATATAAGTGTAGTTAGTTAATTTAGGGTTTTTTATTTATTAAAAATGTTGCTTAGTAAAATTTATATTAGGGGTTCATCTTGCAATTTATTTTATCCAATATTCATTTATTTTTATTTAAAATAATATACACCAAATGGCATATTACATTAGTATGTGTTAATAAACAATAATAATATAATAGGAGATATAAATATGCTAAAATATAAAATAAATATATAATATGACAAATGATAACATAGTATTGAATATGGTAAAGACGAACAGTTAGTAAAGTCATTTGATGGGATATTAAAAGTTTGCTGCTGGTACGTATAGTAATGGTCTGGTTTAGGTAGTTCAAGTTGAAAAACAGTAAATAATAAAATTCTATTTTGAACACGTTCAAAGCGCAGCTGGTCATTAACAAAAAATGGGTCCCTGATAATTACATCATATTTAAATAAAGAGCGAACAAAGCAAAAATAATGGGAAAGGCACGCATTTTATGAATTTAAAGAACTTGATATTTTGTTTTATAAAACCAAAGACTTTTTATGCGCTACCAACAGTTATGTCGATAAAAATAAAATAAGGAGGAGTATGAGACAATGAGATAGTCAATTAAAAAATAACAATTAGGAATAGGTATGTGAGGTTTAGAAAAAGAAATAGCATTACACTTTGAAAGATTAAGGGAGAGATAAAGACTTAAGACTGGGTACCCAATTATAGAATACATTCATCTTAAAGGAGAAGACAGTTAGAAATAAACTTGATATTCAGAAATATTTTCATGTCATCAACTTATAAGATAAAACGAGTCTTCTGAAGGTGGTGGTTACTAATAGAGTTAATAAAAATAGAGAATAAGAGAGGTTTCAGGTGACCACCTTGAGACACACCAGATGTAACGTAATATAAGTCAGAAGATATATTATTCAACTTAACGAATTGCTGCCTACCTATAAGATATGATTGAAGCCATGATATAAATGAATCACCAATACCAATTGAATTTAGAGCATTAATAAATAGATATGATCCACAAAATCAAAAACTTAAGAAAAATCAGTAAATATAACATCTACTTGTGAATATTATGATTAGACGTAAATGATTTAGATTGATTAGCTTATAGACTACTGACACAAAACTTTTAAAAATATGATGAAGATAGATATAGATGTAGAGGCCTGTAACAAAAGAAGGATTTCTAACTTGAGGATACGTATTACAAAACAAATTTTCCATAGAGAAGAGAAGGTACTTTTATCTAAATGCTTTCTGAAAAGAAGATATAAAGACAAAAATTAAGAAAAACGAAAATTATAAAGAAGTCTTGCAAAGATACTATTATGTCGGATTGAGAAAACGTTTTTTAATCATTCAAGGGTCTCAAGGATATCATTAGGAGTAAAAAGACAATTAGAAGGTAGAGAGTATACATGGCTATAGTTGCCACTAAGTGAAGTAACAGTACTTATTGGACATATAAAAGTAGAAGAAAAATACATATGAATAATTCCAAGTTTAGAGTCTAGTGTATTAAGTAATAGTGAAGTTTCCGTGATGATTATTGCATCATAAAAAGAAAATAAACAAACATTTGCTCTGACAGAATCCAGCTTAATTCTTAAACCACGTACATTTTAGTAAAAAATGTTTGTCACCTGCAGATGGACTAGGCTTACAGTGTGCAAGGTTTCTAACATGAGTGTGAGTATTAGTAAAAAAAAAAAAAATGTACAGTACTATGTACAGTAGAAATTGAGTGCTTACAAAGATAACACGAATTAAATACTAATGTGTGACAGCAGCTTTGGTCAACGAAATAAGTTGCGTTTTTGGTAAAATTTAGTTTTTTGGCTGATTAACATTATAAAGAGCATTGTTGGAAGGCGAATTAGTTTTGAAAATTAATGGGACACTAACACGATATCAAACAGCAATAATGAGTTCCCCGTTCATTTCCTAATTTTGAGGTCAACGTACATTTTCTTAATGAAATCTCGCTCAGACTATGTACAGTCATGAGAAATAGATATGGATTCACCACTAAAATCAATAGGAAACTTGGAACCATTAAAAGTGGTTATAAACTCGTTAGCCTGTTCTCTGATAGGAAAAATTAGTTTTAAAAGCAATGGCTTATTACCATTAGGTCGTCTTAGCCGTAATAGTTTGAGCCCATAGGGAGAGGAATAGTCATAATATGATTTTTTCAATGGTAAATTTTAATTACAATAAATTTTGTTTTATTTTAAAAAACCAAAACACAGTGATTTACTTAAAATATAGTGAAATAACACATTTAGTTGCACGTTAAATCATAAGAACGAATTGTATTCATTAAAATTCTTTGCAATGACTCAAATAGCATGGACAAATCTCTTACTTTGAAATACGCTTACAAATAAATAATTAACACCAACGAGCTGAGAAAAGGTCTTAAGCCTTTTACTGTTACGCGATAATACTTTATAATTCTTTTAAGCTGCTATTCAGTTTTTAAATAAAACAATTTCCATTCATTTGATATGTACTCATCGTGTAAATACTTCCAAACTTTAATAGTCATCAAAATTAAAAATCCCATTTCATTAATATTGTACATCGTTCACTATTATTACCGTCGAAATTCTTCTTACATGTTATATTTTAATAATTAATATTTTTATAACGTTAAATTTAAATTAAATTTAAATGAATATAAATAATTTTTCATCTCGAATAGAGTTACTAAATATTGGTTAAATGAGCATTAAAATTATCGAGAAATATCTATATAGCTTTGTCAGATGATATATTATTAAATATTTGCAGATCTAAAAAAATCTTATAATAATAAACTAATTTTTCAATGAATAAACTTATGAAAATTTATGGGTAAGAAAATCAGAATAACGTGAAGATATTTTTTTTTATATTAAGTAGCTTATTCTACGAATGCTAAAACCATGAAAAAATATTAATTCTTGGAATGAAAACAGTATAGAATTTTTAATATATTTTCTGTTGAAACTGATATTAAATTTCAATAGAGATCATATTTTTAAGATAAATATTGTTATTTAAGTAATATAAATCATGAAATAAATATTTGAGTCATTGAAAATTTACTTACATCATATTCGAAACATATTTATAAATTTTGTAATACTCGTAGATAATAAAACAAATATTTTGGATGGCCTTTGTGTTCTTTTTATCCTATTCCAAAGTTTAAGTTTTTGATTTGATTTAATAATAGATGGTGAAGTATCTGTTTTTCATTAAATAAATATTAGGACAAAAGCCTACACAAATAAATTGGAGCGTAAAGAAATAAATATTATCTTTCATCGAGTCATAAAAGAGTTTGAAAGTAACGCGTATGGAAACCTATCGATTATTTTTAGAAATATTTCATTATATATGTATATACATATGGTTTAACGTTAGAGAAAGAAATTTTATTGGAAAGGTCAAACATCATTCGAGTAGAAAACATTTTTTACTCTTTATAAGCAGAAAAAATAGAAGAATAGCATTGTTCCGATAAATTACAATAATAAAGTATACACTCGCTTGGTCTGCAAAATTTTTGAATTACAAAAATATAAGAATTTTTATGGCATTATTTTTATTGATTTACTAAAATATGATTTTATAAGAAAATACGGTGTAAATAAACAACGACATAGTTGTAGTAAAATTGCCTATCTGAAGCGCCGGTTCAGAAACACATCGTTGGATGAATTTCCTCGGAAAATTATTTTTATAAAGGCTCGTGTTCTTCCAGCAAGAGAATGCATAAAATTTATATTGCGATAATGAATTATTTAGTTAGGAACACTTACATCCCAAATTTTTTTGAAATCATTTTGTTGTATCCTTAATAATTCGCAAGTAGTCTTTGTGCACACTGTCATATCCCGTGGCATGTCGTGCACTATCGATTCACCAAAAGTAGCACCGACGTCCAAAACTACAATAGCCTGTGAACAAAGGGAAAAAAACAAATTAAATATTTACTAATGCATTTTTAGAACAACGGCAAAATGTAAGTAACATTTTTAGTAACTAAAATTACACTTTTTATTCAATATACGAACAATATGTAAATATCAAACATTATATCCATTACAATGCAATTTAAAGTTATACATGTATGCCGTATTGCTTTTTTTTAAACTATAAATCACAAAAATTGTTTTCTACATTATAATGCACATAACACGAGTGCGGTTGAAGTCTTGTTTTTTGTATTCACAGTTAATAAATTAATTTTATTTGAAATCATATGTTTTTAATGCGATGTTTTAATTAAGATAAAATGACTTTTCATATTTTCAAGTAAATACAGTAATTTAATTTTATTGTTTCCGTTTTAGCGCCAAATTTATAATAAACATAAGTTTTATAATTAGTTAAGCTTTTGTACATAGCTCGAAAATTAATTTTTACTTAAATTACTACTGTAAATTAAACGTTTGACGATAATTTGAAAACTATTATTAAAATAATTGACGGGTACTTAATAGTTTTACTATAATTAATTGTCAATAATGATAATATTTAAAATAATGTATATTTGATTTTAAATTAAATTTACTGAATATATTAAAATGAATAAAATAATTAATGGTTGATAACAAAACTTTTAAAATAAAATAACCGTATAAAATATCGGCAATTGAAGTAATGCTTTAAATTTTATTTCAAAGTCGTATTTTTTTTTTTTACTCGGAATAGTTAATTTTATTCATTAAAAGCAAAAATAATATAAGGGTAACCAGCAGTAAAATTAACCAGTATGAATTTTAAAAGGGTACTATTAGTTGGTTTGCTTTTTGCAAACTTTGATAGTCAGTGTAAATAGGAACAATTCGCCTACGGGTAAATATACGGTAAGTTTGATTAATTTGAACTAGACGCATGTTAAATATTTTGTTATGAACTAACGTTTTCCCTTGAATTGTAAGATAAAAAAAACGTACGTTCTTTAGATTTTCTTACGGTCGACCTCTCTTCAATAAATAATCTGATATAAAATGTGTATTTTTTAGTAAGGAGACACGTTCATAGTTTATAACTCTCAACCCTTTTCGTGTTCTATTATTGTACGGGCGATTAAGTTGTCACGATTGCGCTGGTAGAAAAATTTTAAACGAAACAACACACAGTGTTATTTTGTTTGCTAGAAGTGGTTTTGTTTCCGTCTAGTGTTATGTATTCTTGGGTTTGTTGCTAAAACGAGCGGCAAATTCCGTTTGGCACATGGAAAGCATTCTTTGTAGAAAAATAAATGAATTACATAGCATAGGACAGTGAAAGCAGAAAAATCGCCAGCGGCCCTCCTTTAGACACTACTAACTGCGTACGGGCAACTCTTTGAATACTAAATGTTATTATTTGAAAACCGCTGAAAACAAACTCATGTGCGCTACGTGTGTGTGCCCACTTAATTTGTTGTGAGGGTAAAATGAAAAGGGGGTGACGACGCAACTTAACCGTATGGTATTATATTATTCAATGCCATGTAAAATAATTAATTTAATGACACGATTATATGACGGTACGTCAGTGCGGTTATCGCGTTTAATTCATTTTGTCGTATAATTATTTGTGCTTTGTTTAAAACGCCACCTCAGTGAGGTATATTATTATGAATGCATACACACTACACGTACAATTTACTGTTCTTATTTAGTTTCATAGGACTGCCCTTTTAAGTATCTCCGAGCTATATCATCCGTAAACACAACGAGCTATCCTTTGAAACAACCGCATGTCGGTGTGAGCTAACCAAACAAAGTTGAGGTACATTAAAACACATACGAGTAGTTAAACTGGAATTGCTATTGTTTTATGTTATTATTACCACATTGGACTAATGATCCGAAATTCTAGTAATTCCACCAATACATTAGCTGAATTACAAAATATGTCGTAGTCATTGATTCATAAAAATATTTTCAAAAACATATGCTCAAACTATAGTAATGAAATTAAACGTCAGACACAGTGCTTATGATTTATCGTTGATAACAGTTTTTAACAGCTGTCACGACTAATGCTTTATAAAAGTTATAAAAGCATACAACTCAATTGATTATCCAATGTTTGGTGCCCTATTTATTTTATTCATACAGAACATTCTGTTCCCTTACTAAATACTTTGCTGGAAAATAAATCCATAAAAAAAAAATTAATGCGTTTTTATTACAAAAAAAGCTAATGGAAAAAATCTTTTTTCATTTTTTGGGTTTTACATGAGCTTACAAAGGTTGAGAAAGTCAGTAAAAGCTCCCTCAGCAATAATGAAGATGCGTCAGGTGGACAGCCGGTGTAATAATCCTGTCAAATCATAAGGTAGAGCCGACCTCAAATAGTTGGGATTGAATATAAGTAGATGATAATGGCGACATACGTTTACAAAAGTATAACCAAGCTACCGATCAAGTTTCAATTTTTTACCTACAGTTTTGCAGTAACGCCAAGATACTACACATTATAAATAACTCTATTGTGTTTACTGACAACATAACGCTAAATTTGCCTCTTTTTATAAACTTCTAAAAGCAAATGCATGTTAGTAAAATTATGGATTACTCCTTGAGCGTTCATTTTTATGATTTATACATCAAATAAATGTTTTCTTCACTATTAACATTACCATCGCATTAACCGATTATATTTTCCGATTTCCTACATTAATATCTTTTGTAGGGCACTCAAAAGAAAACCTTATATTTAGATTTATATATTAAACACATAAATATGGATATTTTTTTACGCTCTTCGCACTTACCCGAATGATGCCGATTCATTATTTTTATTGCAAGTAAGTAAGTTTTAGGACACGTAAGTTGTAAATAATACTATTTAAAACAGTTTTTTTTTAATTATATCATAATCAATTTCCTTGAAAATTACCAAATAAATATTTTTATCCGATGCTTAATTAAATAATAAACTACCTATTTAGGGACATCAACATTTTGAACGCATATTTTTTTAAATGTGACCTTTATTTTCAAATAAATAAACCTTTTGATTTGTTCAAAAATTTCAAGTTAAAATGAAATAAACATCAATGAAGCGTAATAAATTGTCTACTATCTACATACTTTTCAATTCAGAAATATTCAGAATAAATGTGTCGAATGGATTTTGCTGGATTTGTAAAAACTAGGAGCATTGAATAGAATAGACAACAAACACCTTAGCTACACTCAGTGAATCAAACCGTTCAAGAGATAGGCGAATATACAATGGAACATTTATAACCTGTGACTGTTTTTCATATTGAACAAATCTTTATAGAATACTCCGATTTCGTTCATAGCGACAGAAAATTGTTGATTAATTCAATGTCAACTGAAAAAACTACCCTACCCCTACTAAATGTATAAGTACTAATAATTTATAATGGAACCTGATCATCAACACCGGTTATTATCGATTGTATCTTAGAACTCTGCGTTTGTCGCACTCTTTTCGCCCACAAATAAAAAATATAATAACTTAAACTAATAATACGTAATTGGTATAGATCAGACAATTTTAATTTACACCGTTCTCTATTTAATAATAAAAAAAAATCATAGGTTCCCATTTAACTATCGAAACCTACCTTTAAAATCTACCCTATGATATAATTTTTTCTTACAATAAACTTGATATTTATTATGATTAATAAAATTAAATCGAATTTTACTTTATGTATTTTTATGAAAAAAATCATTGTTTAACNATTATGATTAATAAAATTAAATCGAATTTTACTTTATGTATTTTTATGAAAAAAGAGAGGATAGTATTTTTTTATAAATCACACAATATATCAACTAAAAATTAAAAAAACATTTTTTTTCATATTTTTAAAATTTTTAAATTATTTGAAGAAAAAAAGGAGGGTAGTATTATTAATAATACATATTGTATATCCTAAAAATAATGATTTTTAATAGTAGATTTTTCGTTTTGTTATTAAATAAATAAACTGCACGCACTGTAATCGTGACATTTTTGTTTATTTTAAAATTAGTAAGTATGAAAGAATATTAAACAGAAAATAAAAGTAAATATTTCATGATCCGTATGAATATAATACATGGTTCTAGTCAGGTTTAAAATGAACAAGTTCATTGTTAATAAAACAGTTTTATATCTTAACATACGAGATACCATTTATGTTATGTTAAAATCGTACGTGAATAAATTTCAGGTTGTGGATATACATTTTATATATTTACTGTTATGCATTAGGATGGATCATGAAAAAGATTGTAAAATGTTTACGGTTTTGTATAAAAATGATAAAACCAAAATTTTATGAAATACATAAATAGTGGTAAATTGAAAACCATTTCAAAAACCTAGTGCTGTATTTTGAATACTTAAAGTACTGATAAAAAATGATGACTCGTAATTTAATTTTGTTACTGCTTTTGTGTCAACGAATTTGATGGATTTAATTTAAAACATAATTCTATGTTATCCCACAAAATTTAAAATAGACAAATGTTGACATGGCTTTTAACAAATTTTGAATGATTAAATTATTTAGAATATGGCAATTTTTTATACAACTATTCGTTTTAGAACAGCTTATATACTATGATTAAAACAAATGCAAATAATTAATACATTTCTCCGTTAAGCACTTTATTAAAATAAAAATGAATTGAACACTTTTGCGTCTAACCAATTTTATAACACAAAATAATATTAAAGAAATAATTTACTTGAGATAAACTTCTCATATGTTTTATCTGAACATATACATATTTTGTTAGATTTCCCATCCTTAAACATTATTAGTAAACAATATATGGCGTATTAAAATCCTTTTTTTTCACAAATAATATTAAAATTAAAAATAAATTATTTCTTCTATAATTAAACAACATTTTTCTTTATTTTCACTTATTTGAATTCCGGCTTGACATTAACTTTATTCTTAAAACAAGTGTACCACTTTTAAAAATAA